ACTACAAAAAGCGAGAAGCCCATGCATGGGGTGGGATCAAAGAGAGGGGGGTGATTGGCAAAGTGGTGCGGCTGCGCTGCCGACAGTGCGAGTGTGGGCACATCTCGTGGAGCCAGCGCGAACAGCTTCGCGTTGCGAAGGGAAAAGACTTTTTGAAGCCTGCACAGCCGAACAATTGTGCATGGGAAAGTTGGACGTGCGTTGAAGACGTGGACGCGTTCAAAAAAAGAATGAGTAAGAGTGCAGCTCGACTGAGCATGTCGACGGACAAACTTGTTCTCTTGTCCTACCCAACCTGAACCTGTTTGTCTGGACAATGTGCCGCCACCGCGCGGAGTGACGAACGCGTCCACTCGACGATTGATGATGAAGGTGGCGTCGTGCTGTCTTCTCGCGACTGCCAAACAGACCAAGTTGAAGGTTATTGACTAATTGAATGAAAATAAAAATAAGAATAAAAACAGTTATTAACATGCACGGTCGTATGCACGTGTGTGCGTGTGTGCATGGGATTGCGTACGTGTATGGGAAATGGAAAAGCGGCAAAGTGTTTCGCTTTTGCGACTCCAACTTGACGACAATGTGCACAGTCGCATGTGTGTGTGTGCGTGTGTGCGGAGAGCGGTCTGTGATGGTGCCGAATGCACCGACGGTTGTAGGCAAGATGAGGCCATGAGTTTACACTTTGCTTTTGTCATGCCGACCGGGTCGACGTGGCGGCGTGAGTTACGCGGACAAGGGCACTCGTGTGGCCTGCTTCCGACCAGTCGACGAGCCTCCGACTCGGGCGGAAGCGACGACTCATCGGGCCCAAGGTGGGCCGCGGCAGGGCTGGGCAACCAGGTGGCCAGACAGAGAGCCACGTGTCTCGGGTGCCTGCGACATGGTGGCAAAATAAGCATATCCCGTGCCTTGGGTCAGCCTGGCAGCCAATTGGCCGAAATTGCAGGCCCCCCATTGGCCAGTTCGTGTTGGCCAATTATAACGCAGGATCACCACGAGACGTTAAAGATGGGCGTCACTTGGCTCTGTCAATCATATAGAAGTATCGATTTCTCCATATCACACATCCACTCTTGCTCTCCACCACCTCCCTCTCTTTGCCTTACTGTTGCATCTGTGATTAGCCGATACACTCTGTTTCAACGGGCCCTGCCCCTCCAATTAAATTGACGTGATTCAACTCAACTCGACTCGACTCGACTCGACGTCAAACCAAATCACACGTGTTCAATTGATTTGAAAAGTCCCGAAATAAACTCTTTCATCATTTCTATCGATCGATTCATATCTACCCACCGATCTATCTGTTGTCTCGTCTATCCACCTGGCGCCCCCCTCCCGGGCATAAAGCATAAACCGTGCAATCGTCAACTCAAGTGGGAAATGGACCAATCCCGCGTTGGGCTGTGTCTCTCCCTCTCCACTGTGCCTGTATTGTGTGTCTGCGTTGACGCTGCTCTCGGCGAGAAGGACGTCCTGTTTGTGTGACCTCAGCACAGGCTGGACACTTTGCAGTCCTGACTAATTAGAACACGTTGTCTTCCCACGGAATTACCATTTCGCGCACTCACCCCTCGTGTGTGTGAGTGTGTGTGTGTGTGTGTTTGTGAGCACAGTGGTGGACACAACCGGAGGGTGTGTATGCACTCTCGTCTCGTCTCG